AGTGTGCTTTGAAAATGGAAGCTTGGGAAGACTTGGCCACCAGCCTGATCATTTCTTCCAGGTTTGCATTCTTCCTTTTGACAAAACGATGTTTCAGAGTCATGTCTATGAGGGAAAAATGTAAGCATCATGGTTGAAGGTACTTTGCTGGAATAAAAAAGTCCATGTAGACAGCTACGCTTTCTTTCAAGGGGCTGTTTGCATACACTGTAATACAAGACTAAAGCTCAGTGGGTTGATTATTGGTTTTTTTTAAGTAACCGTAGAAATAATAAAAATACATTTTGCTAGATTCAGGCTGTTTGCATACACTGTAATACAAGACTTAAGCTCAGTGGGTTGATTATCATTTTTTTTTTAAGCAACCCTAGAAATAATAAAAATACATTTTGCTAGATTCTTTCTGCATTCAGCTTTTCAGTGCGAGAAGACTAAGTGTGCGCTTTCTGCTCTTTAGTTTCACTCAGTATAACCAGCTTCTTGGAGGTGGAATTTTGCAGTCTTTTCCAAATGACATACCTAAGGAAAATGCCATATTTAAAATATAATTTCAGTTTTGGTTTAGAGATCTTTTCAGCTTGGCAGGAATTTTTAAAAGACCTGTTCCTGGAGGTTTTTTTGATCTTGTCCAGATTTGGGTTATTTTTTAATATAACTACTATACTTCTCTAAATGCACCTCCCAGCTTCCTCACCAAACGATACTGCATTTTTCCCTTTCATCGTGGTACCCTACAGCACCAGTGTGGTTTCTCCTGACTGACTTGACTTCAGCAAATGTCCAGCAAACACAGAGAAGCTCTGTATCTGGTACACGGGCACACAAAGGCTTTACTACTCAAGAGAATTTTCTGCATAGTTCACCAGAGAGCAAATTGTTTGCACATTGCTCATTTTCAAACTTGGAAGTCCGATGACACCAGACGTACAAGGTAAATACCGCTTCATGCCTTAGTGTGGTAAGCCTCAAAGGACTTGGTTGGGGGTAGAATTTTGGGGAATGCATTTCCTTCTAAGAAGGCTGTCCTCTATAGCAGAGGTAGGAAAAGCATCCCCACCATAAGTCAAAGTATGTCAAAGTACGTTTTTTTTCTTGAAGGATGTGCTCTTTATCTTCTCTTCTTGTAAGAGAGCCTCCAAAAGGCAATCTCAGCACAAGTATCCTGTAATAAAATTCCATCTTGAAAACAGAAATCCCACATAAACGCAGTAATCACACAAAGCGTTCAACTTTTCCACACGAGATGAACAGATGCAGCCCTAGAAAGCAGTTCTGGACCTCCCACTCTTTCACCTCAGGCTTCCAGGTTCCCAATGGAGTGGTCATTGAAGTAACATTGGCTAGGGTCCCACTGGGAAATTGTTGTGTTTCAGGGGATGCTAGTTTCTGTTTCCCAGCACATATAATGACCAGTAAGTCTTCCTCTCGGGACAAACCTTGCACAGGTTCCATGGTAAAAGCAACTTACTTAACAGAGAGCACTCTTTATTGTCAAGATGAGCTCCCATCTGGCAAATACAATCCAATTTTTTTCTCATTAAAACTTAGAATCAGTTGCCCCCAAGGTCTAGATAAAATAATTAGGAAAAAAGGCAAAGAAATTCTTATATAGTCAGTTTAGGCAATTCTAGAATTTTAGTGCCAAATCTGAAGTAGGAAAAGTGAGAAATATAGAAATGCAGCCACCACAGATACAGATTTTCTTTTTTTAAGACTGGATCCATAATAAGGCACTAACAAGGAGAATGGGCATAAAGAACTAAGCAACTATGCAAGCCTGTTCTCATTTTGGCTACAGTGATGTTCAAGGAAATATTCAACCCCCTTGCTTTCTGTTTCTTGCAAAAAGTCTAACAGTGTTTAAGTTAAGATTTCCTCTGTGATACAGATAACCATATACTTGATTTTGTATGTTCCATTCTCAAACATGTACACTATACGCAACTTCAAAATAGCTGGCGTTAACTTTAGAGTGCTGAATTATATATAAAAAAACCCAACTGCTAAACACAGTGAAGTTAAGGAAATAGATACAAGAAAAAACTCTATATCTACTTTATTAGTTCCTCCTTGTTTTTAAGCTTAAGCACATAACAGCCTTTCATAATTAGTAGTCTAAACTTAATAAGGTATGGTACTGAAAACAGAATATTAAGATATGATGTTTCCTTCAGTCATTTTATTGTTGAATTAGTTTTTCATTTACCAATGCAATCAGTTTTATTTTATGATCGATCACAGAAGTATACCATACTATTTCTTATATTATATACTATTCCCAGTATTTATGCCCTTATAGTAAAAAGTTGCCTTTTGTTGAAGAACATAGATTGCTCTTAAATGTTTAAAATACTTTCTAAAATCCAGCATGTATATAGTTCTGTAGGTTTTACCAGGGGTGTATAATTTTTCAGCATTATGTCTTAATGCCAATTTCCTGAAGGAGCTTTGACTACAAAAGGCATGAATATGTTTTCAAAGGATGATGGATAAATTGGTGGGTGGTAATATAATATATCTTAGGCAGCTGATCAGGGCTTTTCATCCTCTACTTGTCTTTTAGTTATACACAATTTCAAGATAATTATGGTCTATAAGAATGTCTTTTCCCCTTCCTACTACCAGCAATATTTGTCTTGGTTATAGGTTCAAGAAACTTCCAATCACATCATAAAATTAGAACAGGGCAATTACGGCATCTGAGCAGAGAACCGAATGTATAAATAAACTGACCACACAATATGGACATAAGGTAGTTAATGAACTACCTTTACGTAAAACACCAGTTAATTAGAATACTACCTTTAGTATAGATTGAATCCATACTCGAATTTTACAAAATAAAACCCAAGAATAAAATATGTAATTGAGGTTGACTGTACCATAGCTATGTTGCCCTTCTGATAAAGAATACAGTCCAATCAGATACTGAAAATAAATTAATTACTAATCTTATTTAAAAAAATGCAATGTTGCTCAATGCTCAGATACGTTATATTAAAATCCTGACTTGGTGGAGACATCCAAATCCCAATCAGCTCATTTTTATGACAGGAGAGGACTTCTTGAAGCACCTGAAGCTCCTCTCTTTTAAAAGTCAAGTGAGGCAGTTGGGAAAATCACTTCTGTGATTTGGAGACCTAACTTTGGCCAATGCCAGCCTTAGATCAACTTTTTCCAGGTGAGACAATAATGTTTTTTAGGTAACACATATTGGCATTGCAAAAAGTGCCTAAGCATTCCACGTGTGAAAGTATGTAATTTTCTAGATTGACGCCTAGCATATTACAGGGTTACTTCACTGAAGCAATTTTAACACAGCAATACAAATCAGAGAAATCAACTCTACTGTGCCTTGTACGTTAAGCAAAGGAAGTGTTGAATAGTCAAAGTAAGAGTAGAAAAGCATAGACAAGAGCACCGTGGGATACATAAACACACAGAGGAAGAAAACAAGACAAGATTATGTTTTACTCAACTTTGTTGAGGGAATATTGTCCATCCATTTATACTCTCTTACAGTAACACCACTACGGAGTTACAACAGAGGAATGCAGTATTATTACCTGGTGTCGACCCCAAAAAAGGAAGAAGCAAAACTTACTCCAAATCAGACAACAAGGCTCAGTATCGCATCGAAGCAACTGACTACAAACTCAAATTGGTACAAGAAGGATAGATACATGTAACAACACGTGTGTTGATTAACTTGCAAAGGCACAAAGAACAGGAGCTAGGAACAACATGACATGCTATGAAATTGATTCAAAGGTGAACAAAAGAAGAAGAAAATGTATGTTAGCTACTTTATTTTAAGAAATTTTAATGCAATGCAATAAAAATATTTGAGTAAGATTCATTTCGATGAGAAAAACAAGCACAATGATCATGTGCTGTACAGTCAGAGAGTCAATGACTTGATTATCAGTTATTTAAAAACATTAAGAACATGCTATATTTATTATGTGATTCATACGTCACAATCAAATTCCAACCTATTTATTTAGGCTATATTCTGAACCACAAAAACAAATGATAAAAATTTCACCCTTAAATGATCCCTCCTTAGGTTCAAGATCGTAAAAAAAAATTAATTTTTCATAACCACAATCATATAATTTCACTAAGAATACTCTTTTTCCTGAATACTGAAGATAATATCATATAGACAAGGCACAGAATCTACCATCACAAGGTAGGAAAAAAGAAAAGTAATCATTTTGTCCAGAAATACTCTCTGAAGACTCTTAAGGAAATAGCCAGACTTCACTTGACGCAGAAGTAATCAGTAAATTATATGTTACTTGTGATATTAGAAAAAAGCAGCCTTAGAAAGACAAAAAATATTTAATGAAATTTTGTAAGATTATCCTCACACTTCAGCATTTTTTGCAGTGTTGATCAGGCTTTTTCCCTTATATAATTTCCTTATAATGGAAACTATTAGTGTTTGTTTAGGAGCTCACCGAAGTCTGAAAGGAGCCTTTCTGTAAGTCCTGATCCAAAGCTGACCATGTTTCCCAGTAGAAAAAAGACAGTCAGAATGAAACACACGTGTAAAGGAAGCTGTAAAGATGTTAAATGATATTTTTCGTTTCTGCAGGGAACTACAGTAAATATCTACACAAAGTGCACACTGGTTCTACCACAATACATTGGAACCAGCTTAACTACTCTTCCTGATCGGCAGGTGGGAACTGTAAACAGTTGGGTTTACTCAAACCATTCAACTAAACCAGCTAGTCTGGTTTTTGTCCATAATCAAAATAAAGGGTAAGCAAGCTCCTAACCTGATCTGGCCTTGGGAGGATCTTACTCCACAGACAGGCTAGTTAGCTAAATTTAATTCCCAAATCTGGCTAGCGTAAATACTCCTGCACTGCCTTACGAATCACCAAGACTAATTAATTTCTTACTACACAATATATACACTTTAAAATGTATTTAAATTCATCAAGAGATTACAGCTTTACTTGTCAAAAGCTATGAGTCTTCTTTACCTTTAAGATGTTGTCAGGATGCTCTTTAGCAGAAGCAACAAACAAGTGATGCCCACAGACAACTCCCTCTGCGAGAAAATACTTGAACAACAAATTGGAGTAAAGACCGTATTTGTCTTCCTCTGTGAAAACAAAAATGGTTGGAATTGTTTCTTTTTTGTTAGATAAATCACCCGCCTGTATTTTCACAACACTATAAAAGCCCTCTTTTGGTCTACCTCCTACAGTATATAATGTACAACAGACAACAGGTAAAATGTGATTCCAAAGTTTTAAAAATAATGCTTCATAAGATTGTATTCTTAATTTTTCAAGCCAGAGAAATAGTTCTCAATCATGTATTTGATTGTAAGATACGGTTGGGATACAGCAATAGTGCTGTCTTCTGAACAATGTTTCCCATAAGTATCAACTAAGATTAGCAAAACCATTCTTTAATGGGAAGGGATTTTGTTCATTTAGAAGAACTGTGTTAATACTTACATTGTTAACACTTGAAATACTAATCAACTTGTTTAAAATATCTATTAATTGATGGGTTTCAAAATTTAATCATATTTGGCATGCTAAAGCTAAAGGTACCATTTCTTATAGAAACATTCTCATATCTGCCTTTCTTTCCAAACTGAGAACTAAGAAAATAGGCAAAACAAATGGATATATTGAAAAAATAGATGACTTGCAACACCATTTTTGAAAGCTAACCAGAGCAAAATCATGAACACATTCAAAAGACACATGAACTTACAGTTTAAGAAGTAAGAGAACACTTGTTAATAGACATTGTGAATACTAGACTACTGAAATAAAAATACAGTTCAGGACGGCTAGTATTTCCTTCAGCTTCTTTGTTGCAAGTTAAATATCAGAAATTACCAGAATTAGAAAGTCTTAATGAGCTTCATACAATTAAAACTTATCATAACTCAAAACTATGGGGGAAGTGAATGAGTAAGTAACAATCGAAACCTGAACCATCTCCGATTTTCTTTATTTTGAGGAAATATAAACAATAGCAACATTAATGCTAGCAAAAAGAATTCCTAACAATATAACTACGAGATTAATTATCCAGTAAAATTTTAGATCTTGCTCTTTGAAACAACGTATTTCTGACATTTATTTAGAAAGATATCTTATTTGGGAGAAAAGTAAAGGCAACAATATAAGGTTTCACTCTTTCATCTGTTAATCTGGCTGCTGGAAGATAATACACAGGGACGTTCTGGCAGAAAAATACACAGAGATTTTGTTTCTACAGAACCAACAAAACGCTTAATCCATTCTTTGTGTGACTCGGCAACAATTTCCTCCCCATTATAAACCAGATATGAAAATATTAAAAAAACCTCCACAAAACCAGTAATGAAGGCTGAAAAAAAGAAAGTTGTCATTCATATCTAACTTGTAACAAATACTAAAGGAAACCAAAAAGTATATAACTTTGATATGTACCAGAATATTATATTTTGGCGCTTAAGAGTCAGAAAGAACCAATGGAGTGGGAGGAAAGAAAGAAAGGAGATGTATATCCAAAAAGGACATTAACAGCAACAGGGAAACTTAAGAAACAAATCACAGAAATATAGTTGCACAGAAAAATGTTGCACTGCTATACTCTAACAACCTGCACAAGCACTGACACTGACACTGACACAGTGCTTAGATTAACAAGTGAAAGAAATTTAAACCACAAGTTTTCAAATTCACTGGAGAAGGAACAGCTCTCCCAGAGATATTCCCTACCCTCCATGGGATATTGGGCAAAACAAAATTGATCCTGCTTTTTTTTGTCTCACTTTTAAATTTAGTATTTATGAAAGTTTTTTTTCTAAGGTAAAAGGTATATACTTAAAATTCAGAAAATTTCTTTCTTTAATTTCTTTCTTCTTCGGAATAATCCCTAAAGATACAGTGTCAAGATTATCTACTTTGTTGTTTAGGAGAAATACTTACTTAAAAGTTTCCCTTTTATTAAACCCAAGAAATGAACTAGAAATGACTCTAAAGCAACATTTCAAGATAGAGAAAAATGCTTCATAACACAGTTGCTAAGACAGGAAATTACATAAAACTGGACATCCAAATAAGCCAAAGGAAATACAGTAATCACAACACTACTGCTACTAGTAGTAGCCATTGATATACCCAATTTATTGTAGTCTGAGGGTTTTAAGAACTCAGATTGTGTTAATGTAATTTACCTCTGATACTGTTAGCCTGCTTAGTAGGTCATATTAGCCTTCTAATGTTCTTCCAATAACACATTCACCTTTTTTAAAAGTAACAGTCTAGTGAAAAATATGGACAGATCAGTATTGTGAAAAGTACAGAACTGACAAAGGCTTACTGTTGACAGTGCTGGGTTCCTTGTTAAAATTTCAGTAGAACTGATTTCCAAAAGCATTACAGAATTACAAACTGCAATTTCCTTGAAAGTTTGGAGCTCTTAATTAAGCTGTTTATATAGTTCACTCTCACATGCTTAAAAAGCCATTAAAAAGAGTTACTGAAGAACTGTTTTCCTAGTAACTCAACTCCATACACTGTGCTGTGACTGAGGATGTAGATCCATGTATGGACTAGGATGGAGACAAGACTCGATTCAGTGAAGCATTGCAGTTGCAGAAGCAAAAAGTAGAACTGACACTATCTGGTTTGGCATAAGTATTACCGTCTTATTTTGTAAATACAGTCTTTGGAGTCTGCTTAGATCTCAAACTGCTTCAACAAGGCGAAAACGAAACCCCTATGCAGAGTAATTCTCCCTTATAACTGGAGTCCAGGGGCACATACGTTGGCTCTCTCTAGTTACTATGCTTTGATTGCTTACTGCAATACAGTTGGCAATATATTATTCACTGTATATTGACTTCCGTGTGCTAATGTCAATCTATGAAGCTCTCAATTTAACAAACAAAGCGCTCTAGAAATCAAAGTGACAGTATGATATCTACTTATTGATTATTTTTTTTTAATTTGTCTGAGCTACCTGAAAGAAGCCACCAAACCTCCCATACAATCACATCACTGCAGGAGATGTCAGTGGAGTAAGACAATTTTGTTAGACCTCCCTCCCTTTGAACAAAAGAGGAAAAGAAACAGTAGTTGGGTGCTCTGGAAGGATCCTCAGCTGCAACATTTATGTCATATGTGAATCAAAAATCTTGATTTCTTAATTTTTATCTACAGGTTAAAGTTCACCTGCTTCACCACTTGAGGCACAGAAACACCAAGTTGTATTGCACATGACAGGACTTAACTGACATTTCATGCAGTATATCTCATTTAGTCCAAGTATCTTATGGTTTGTGTATGTGTGTGTGCGACTATACAGGGAGTCTTTCTGGATCATAATTTTTGATATTAATTATTCCGTAGAAAGTAAAAAACATGCTCAATTTTGTGGCAAACATAACACTGAAACTCCATAAATCATGGATAAATGTAAGAAATCATACTGTGTGTTGATTATTTAACTAAACTAAGAGGAAATAAGGCTGTAGCAGTTAATAAGAATTTTTACTTAAATTTTATTTGAAATGCTGAAATGTTAAAACAAACTATAGAAGTGAAGCAATGGGGAACAGGGATATAAACACTTTTGCTGACCTATCCAAGATTATAATTAATTTTGCTGAGTGACAGAATTGTTTGTAACATAACAGAACTAGAGAGTTTCTTACACTGCCATGCCCCTCCAAAAGATACTTTGCAAAATATGAAAAATTTTCAATTTAGCAAATTAAAGCATTTGCATTCAGTATAAGGACACATAATTTTAGCATTAGCCTTTCTTTTAGTCTTCTTACCTTGATTTTTGTAACTTACAGTAAACTTACAGTAAAACCAGGAAATGAACTATTGGAGAGTGATCTAAATATAAACCACCTCATAGTCTGCTACAGTACTCTAAGGATTAAATGTGTCTCAGAAAGCCTTTACAAACAGTGTATCTTGAATTGTTAAAGTCAATGCATCTGTAAGAATCCCTCAGTTCTTCAATTTGTCAGATAGAGGATGGCTTTTTATTGATTCATTTCTAGGTCACTAAACTTTTGTAGTATTCAAAAGATCTAAAGTGCACCCATATGGGGCTTTTCTGATAGCATCCATTGTACCCTGGCTTCAATAGTTACGTTACTATTCAAAACCAGAGCAGTACAGCTTTCTTCTTGTAAATAAACAAACAAATCATTTAGCACAGGTACTTCGGTAGCTCACTGATTACTTTCATAGATGAACTGAATGAAATACTTTGAAGTATATTTGTTTTCTGGTAACGCTTGGACTTACTATTTTGATGGCTGGGATAAATTCTCAACTAGTTATTTTTCCAAATTACACCAACATCCAAGAGAACCACCTCCATTCTGTATGTGTAGGAACTAACACTTACGTGCACTTTAGTCAGTCAGATACTTAAGACAAGCCTGGCGCAAATCTTTTTTCTTAGCTTCCATACTAAAGAGCTGTCCTGTCAGCAGCCTTCACTGTGAGCTTTACTTCTAGCTAATAACACACATAAACAAATAAGAACTCTTGCAGCTGCAGACTCTTTTCTGGGTCCAGCCACCGCAAGTCACACAACAGTTTGCAGCTTTCTCTGACTCTTTTTGAATAAAGAGTGTTCTACAGCTAAGTAGCAGGTGAGTAACTAGTGAAGCCTAAAACTATACAAGGAAAAGAGATTATTTACCTAGAAGTTATGCATATTGTCTCCAGAACAAAACCTCTTCTGATCCTACAGATAGGGACATAAATAAAATGGTTTATTGTGACTGTTATCCATTGGTCTCTTTCCACAACAGCATGCTTCCATGGCTAAAATAATCATGAAGAAAAAGCAGTATTGCCAGTATCACCGCAATGAATTCCAACGTATAACCATGCTGAAAACCAAGGATAAAGACCGATTCCTACTTACGGCTCTTTTCACCCCTACACTGTATAGGCTACTGAACACATAAGAGACATTCCCAGCACCTTTGTGCACGGACTGTCTGTAGCTACTACACAGAGAAATCAGTGGGTCATACAATTAAATACAAAATTTTAAGGCACTGGAGTTTACTAGGGCACAGAAAACAAAGACAGCAGATATGAGTGAGGCACTGTAAATATATAGTTTATTAAAAAAAATAAGGACAAAAATCTCATCTAATTACAGAAACTGACCACAGAATCACAGAACGTTAGGGGTTGGAAGGGATCTTGAAAGATCATCTAGTCCAACCCTCCCTGCCAGAGCAGGACCACCTAGAGCAGGTCACACAGGAACACGTCCAGGCGGGTTTTGAATGTCTCCAGGGAAGGAGACCCCACCACCTCTCTGGGCAGCCTGTGCCAGGGCTCTATTAGCCTCACAGTGAAACAGTTTTTCCTTGTGTTAATGTGGAACCTCCTGTGCTCCAGCTTGCACCCATTGCCCCTTGTCCTGTCACTGGCCATCACCGAGAAGAGCCCGGCTCCATCCTCCTGACACTCGCCCTTTAAGTATTTATAAACATTGATGAGGTCACCCCTCAATCTCCTCTTCTCCAAGCTAAAGAGGCCCAGCTCCTCAGCCTTTCATCATAAGGGAGATGTTCCAGCCCCTTAACCATCTTTGTGGCTCTGCACTGGACTCTTTCAAGCAGTTCCCTGTCCTTCTTGAACTGAGGGGCCCAGAACTGCACACAATATTCCAGATGCAGTCAAAATGATATGTAAACATGTGGCCTTAAGAAAAAATCTCTAGCCACAACTGCTCGCTCTGCACAGAAGTACTCATTTTCCAAGAGAAGGATGAAGAATAAGCACTGTCACTTGGAGGAATAAAAAGCTAGGAACAAAATCCACCACAAGGTAACAAGCACATATTTATAAGGGCTGACTTTTAAACATCAGCATATTAAATGGCACAAAGGTCTTTTAAAAACTCCAGAGATAATTTGTAGTATAATTGCTTAAAATGATGAGAGCTGTAGGAGGAAAAAATAAGACTGCAACAATGTAAAGTAGAGATAGCTTATTTTTTTTTATCTGTACAAAGTCTAGACAGGTTGCCCTAAAGCTGCCAGAAGCCTGTCATAGCCTATCAGTATTGATCATTTTTTCACCAGATAGTTCTACAGTATGGTACTGTGACCTAAGGTGTGCCTTTCTGTAGCTATGAAACATCTCTCTGAATTGCTGCAGGTTATAAGATACGATTATTTTAATAATCTGAAATTCCATTTAAAAGATAATTTACTAATGTCCACATTTACTAAGCTTCAGGGGATATACTTTGTGTCACTTGCATTTAATTAGCACATGCCAAAACAGAGTTGTCAAACATGTAAGTTACAATATTTGGCATTTGGCCATACTTCAGGAAGGTGAATTCTGGTAACTTGTATTTTGTAGAATTATATTTAGCAAATCACCGTTTTGTACTTCTCTGGAGATTATCTTTTTCAACTTTAAAAAGATGATAAATTCAATTACATTGACAAGTGAAGAGAGCTCTTACCAGTCAGGTTAAATTGCATGTCTAACAAAAATAATAGTAGCTAATTAAAGTAGCTGAAACTGGTTTAAGGCTTAGAATGTACAAGTATAGACCTGCCCTTAACCAGACAACTTTAAATTTTAATAACTGACCTCAGCTACCAACTAAAACCCTCCTACTCATAATCTTTAAAACATTTAGCCGTCAATGACCTTGTCAAAACAGAGCATCTTAAAGGTATGTAAGAATAGGTTCTTCTCGGGTGCTCAGGACAGACCTATTTGAGTGTGCTGTAACTCACGACGCAGAACGTGTTGTATAAACAAAGCCTGCATTTAAAAACCAAAACAACATCCTCCTGGAAGCTCTTCCTGAGGCTGCCAAAAGAGACATACAACAAGCCGAAGTACATCGGAGAGGAGAGAAGGGAAAGCAGTGTGCTTAATCAACATTTGTTTGATTTTGAACGGGGAGATTCTTCTAGAAAGCTGATCTTCTGGGAGCAGTTTAAGATGAAACAACAAACAAGTGGTCTCACATTCATATTGAACAAACTGTTTTGATAGCATTCAAATTTCATTTCACCCGGAGTCATAGCGCTTGTTTTACCACTTCTTACTAACGCAGTGCAGTAAGACCTTTTGGAATTACAGCACTAGTTAAAATCCAAAACATTCTTGCTACATGAATAAAACGCAGGAAGTTTCAAGTTCCTCTAGTAGCTAGGATCTTGCGTGAGACTACCATGTGCCTCAGCGCTACAATTCTCATATAAAACAAAACACTGTCAAAAGAATATATTATAGAATTAAGTTCAACTGAAAATCCTGATGCTCTTCATTATGAATTAATTTAAAAAAATTGTGCACTTATATTTCAAACAACCTTTTATAGTCTTATCAAGTAACCTGTGCCGTTACTACATCGTCAGAACACAATAGTTAAAATAAATATTTTAATACCCTGAATCTACTATTATTTGGTTAAATTAGCCAAGATAATGCGTCAAATAATGAAGATGAGCATTTAATTTGCAAAGGGAGCTAAGTTAAAAGTAATGCAATTTATTCTTGCCTTAGAGAATGTTAAAGGAGGGGGAAGAATTTAACCTTTTTATAACACTTGGAGTACAACGCAGAAAGATCTTCCTAGGAGGTTTATCACTGACAGCTTCAATCCTGTATAATATTAAGCTTGCCTAGACTAATCTCATGACAGAATTTTTTGTATACTGACAGAATATTCTAACAATGCAGTTACAATTCCACCTGCACCAACTTTAAAAATTAGTCTAAAAATTTTTAGACTAATGAGTCATGAATAAATATAGTTCTTACTTTAAGACTTTTTGTATATAATTATATGTTTCAAAATAACATATGGTAAATCTTATTTGGGAAAAAAAAATTAGCTTTCAAATCTAAACCAGAGATCCTTCTTTGTGTTTCTGTGAAGCTAAGTTTAATATCAGATCACAACCAACCAACCAACATAGGGGATAAGTAAATTAAAACCCACCACTGAGTATTGCCAGCTATGCACTCAAAGGAGGGGAAAAAATTCAGGTAAAAATCCTATAATTTTCAAATCACTGAGTCTCGTCATCTCTTTCATTAGAACACAAAGCTGTCTTTGTACTCGTTTCATCTGGTGCCATTAAGGTCAGGTCAAATGGACAGCTAACCCTATGCTCAACAGTAGCCAAAAGCAGATATTTAGGAAGAGGTAATAAGAACTGAACAAGCAAATGTGATGCTTCGCCCAAGCACTTCCTCAGCCTCCCATGATTTGTAGCTCAAGGACTTCTTTACCTGGAAGTATCCGCTAACGCAGTAATGCAAGTGGCCTTCTCTTCCATCAGGCTGCTCCGTTTCCCACTCAGATCATGATTTTTTTTTTTTACATCCACAACACCCTATGGTAAAGTATTCCACCACTTAATTGCATACCATCTCAAGAACAACTTTCTTTTGCTTAATGACAATTTTCCAGATAGTAGATTCATTTGATGCCACCCAGCCCATCTACTGGAAGGGGCAGTGAATATTGTAATGGGAAGACAAAACAAAATTCATCTAGTTTCACAGTCTTAGCTTTGTGTAAAATATGATGGGTTCTAGTATTTTTTTTTTTCTTCTTCCTTTGTCCATAGTAAGATTGCAGCTCTTCTCAAAGTGAGGGAGAAAAGTATGATCTTCACTGAAAGCAGTAAGGGGTAAAACTTCTATCATTTTTCCTGAATTCACAGAAATTTGGGTGAAATTTCATGAGAAAATTAAGCTTAACTGACACTTTCTGCCTTGAAAAAAGGCTATCTACTTTCTCTCCTAGTCCTCACTGTGCAGCCCTTCTTTCCCTTGTGCTGGCTCTGGTACTCATCTCGCATGTTAGTGAGCTGATTCAGGTCGCTAAACAGACAGAAAAGTCTCCACTCTTTAACTGGGTGAGTCTTCTGTCAAGCTGGGAGAGCCGAGAGTTAAAAAGCACTGGCGTCAGCTCAAGGAACAACAAGATTGCACAGCCAAGAACAGGGACAACTTCTTTCAGCAACAGTGAACTGCTGTATCAATTAAGTTTTTTGAAGATTTTCCTAAGAAGTCCTGAAATTTGCTGAACGCCCTGCTTTCAAACAGAATTCTGCGGTATTCTTGGGGGCTCAAACCTGTCTAAATGTAAGGTTTTGATCCACCTCCAGTAATTCTTGAAACAGATAATAGACCACTCTGAAGGCTATCCAAAGTGAAGGGGCCTGAGAGTTATACTTTCTTAAGTCTGAGTTTAAAAAGCAATGAAAAGACAGGTTATTCGATAAATTATTAAAAGGAGCAAAACACATCAGAATATGGCTTTAAGTATCTATATATTCTATACTAACCAATAAGAAGAAGGGTTCCAACAGCTACGCCTCCACCTGGAAACAAAACAAAATGAAGAATAAAGTAAGACTACATTTTAATACTATGTTAGAGAACAATTAAGTTTTCTTAGTTTATAAGTCAAAGAAAGGTGATAACGGGGAATTTAAAAATATAAAAGTGAACAACATTTTAATTACCTTTGCAATACTTCCTACAATTCACTATTATGAAATAATTATACATTACATGTAATTATATATTACACATTACAATTACTTTCACAATATACTGTACTATCATCATTGTGGTAAAAAGATCTTGCAGAGCTCTATGCAACTATGCTCAAGTACTACAATAATGATGTATGGTCTGAGCCAGCGAATTTTTACTTGGATGACTCGTGTGAGTAAACATTCTCCAAATTAAATCTATATTAACCACTGCCAAGTGATACTCCTCTGTACCAAGAACCATGTTATGTAAAGTGACCTATTAAGAGGCCAGCAAATTCCCACCCAAGTCCACGAAGCAGGTACTGAAAGCAGGCATGGCAATAAGACAGGTAGGATTTCACCCAATGAAACCTGGACTGACAGATCATAAACATCATAACACACACCTGAACCCCCCCCCCAACTATTAAAGTCTTTTATAGTATGACTCGGACATAAAAACAACCCCATGAATGCAGTTGAAAAATAAAAATACATTTTGACATATTTATACACGGCCACTATTATTTTTCCCTCTTTTTGCCTAAACAATTGCAATCAATGCTTATGTTCCAATCACAGATGGCTTTATGAACAATAGACAGAACAGAATATTCTCAATATGTTTTGATACATAGATTTTTATTCCATTGAGCTCAACAGTGTGGAGGACCAGAAAAAAAAAAGATCTATGAACTCCCATCCTGAGTACTTTATTTCCTCCTCGAAGAGACAACAAGCGTAATTAGTGACAGTGGTTTAAATGGTTGTCCCAAGAAGGAATTTTTACAAAGACGGTGAAAGATGAATTCATATTTTATTTTAGCTGAAGAGTAAACCAGTTTATAATCTGAATTCCAAGACTGAAAACAGTGAAATAACTTGAAATCAGACTCAAAATATTTTGTTGAACAATTCTATGAGACTGTGACAGGAAAGGTAAAAATTCCTGGAAGTGTTCAGATGGCCATATGTAACTAGCCTATAGCAGTGTTTTGTACAAAGGAAACTGCAGCATGTCTTCTGCAATTCCATACTGCTTTAAAAGCAAGTTAGGAGCAAACTGAATCACATCATCACAATATCCAAAGTTCTTGATAACAGAAGTCAATTCTGGACTGCACAGCTGCACTCCAGTGAACAGGATAATTCAGTCTATCCATTTAAGAGCTTATTAAACTTCACTCGAAATTGATTCCGATAGGGATTGGATCAACTTCTTAATCTTTAGCTCTGCTGGTGGGACTACGAATGGCTGTAGCACCTGTAATGTTGATATATACCCAGAAGGAAGAGAAAAAGCAGATTTCTCTCCCATAGGCCAAAAAGTGCTAATATTGTTGCATAACAACACCTGAATTAAAACCACAACACAATCACTTTGTCATCATGTCATGATGTACCGCACTTCAAGCAGTACAGCACTGTGCAAATGTTTATAATCGGCTGCTAATTTCACAGTTGTAGTTCAACACATCACAGATTTTTTAAGCTATGCTCGTGAGGCAAGATGTACAAATGCCTCAGTATTTATGGAAAGCTTACCAAGGAACCAGACATTTCCTAATTTTTAAAAAAAAACCCAACTATAAATGCTGTTTATTGGAAAGTTAGAATCACTCATGAAAACCCCATGTCCAAATCCACCAATTTTTACTTCATTTTATTTGTTTGGGGGATGAATCCAAAAGATGTACTATGGGGGAAAGGATTAAAAATGACCGAAATCAGAAATCATATAGATGGTTGATACAAAGTATGCTTCCAATATGCACTGCATTCAACTGTTTAGGGAGACAGAACGCATGGGTTACTAACAACAGTTGTTTAAAACTAGCACATCTATACAGCACATAGAAAAAAACTGCTCAACATTATGAGATTTTACCAATAGCTTGACATAGAACAGATGATCAAACCAGCCATAAGTAATGTATTACCTCATGGCAATAAGGACTTAAAATCTTGGTCGTAAAAAGCTCACTTGTAGTCACCACAGAAGTAGTGTCTCTACTGGTTTTAAATTGCTTGCACAAGAGAAAATTTTTGTCAAACAGTACATCAGTGCAGCCAAATTTCTCACAAGCTATGTTTTCGGATTGTCCATGGTACTGTCTCTTTCTACGAGCCAGAGTTGTAACATATGTGCACATACCCTGGTTGCTGAAGGCAAATTCAGGTCAGAGGATTGGCTTTACATTATCAGATGTAGTGAACAGTTTGAACAAGTGTATTCTATTACACGGAATGTAAAACTATTGCAGTTACCATGGTTACACATTCATATTACAATGAGCAACAATAATACTAAATTAAGCAAAAAACAGACAACAGGAAAAAGTAGC